TCAGTTTTGCTACCGTCTTAATTTTTTTCTGCTTCTGGAAATATGTTAACATTGTTATTGTTTCCCTTCCATTTTCTTTGTCTTGATGGGTTTATGTGCTTTTATTCCTTTGAACTTGTTTTGATTGAGAATAAATGTTTATGCTCAGTTCACCATTTTTCATTCTTTTTGTTCTTATTATTTAAAAGCTTTTAAATTCCTTTAGTTTCATGCTGAAAGAGTTTTCACAGAAAGAAGTGCTAAATAAAATTAATTTGCCAAATTTTGCCATGTAAACTTCTGGTCTTCCAAAGACACTGTTAAAAGAATGAAAGGACAAACCACAATCTAGGAGAAAATATTTGTAAAGCACATGTCTCATAAAAGATTTATTTCCAGAATATATAAAACTCTCAAAATTCAGTAATAAGAAAAAAATAAAAACAATTTAAAAAATGATTAAATGATTTCAGCAGAGGCTTTATGGGGGGCAAATAAGCACATGAAAAGATGCTCAACATTATGAGTCATTGGAGAAATACTAGTAAAAACCACAATGAGAAACTACTACACATGCTTTAAAATGGGTAAAAATATGTATTTTTTTTAAATGGATAATACCAAATGCTGGCAAGGATGCTGAACAATTGTACCTCTCATGTGTTGCTGGTGGGAATGCAGAATTGTACTGCCACTTTGGAAAACAGAATGGCAGTGTCTTATAAAGTTAAAGATACACTTACCATACAACCCAGCAATTCTGCTGCAAAGTACTTAATTGATATAAATGAAAGCATATGTTCACTCTAAACCTGAATGCAAATGTTTATAGCTGCTTTATTCATAATCACTTAATACTGTAAACAACCCAAATGTCCTTCAACTGATAAATGCGTAAACTGATATATCCATATAATGGATTATTACTCAGCAATTAAAAAGTGAACTACAAATATACCCAACAATATGGATGAATTTCAAATGCATTATGCTAAATGAAAAAAAATCAGACTAAAAGGCTGCATAGCTGTATGATTCTGTTTTTACAAAGTTCTGGAAAAATGTGAAACTCTAGGGACAGAAAACAGATCCATGGTTGCCAGGAGCTGGGGATGAGAGGAAGGGATTGCTACAAAGGGGAACAAGGGAACCTGACTTAAAAAAATAAATCACAGGGTAATTCCCAAAGTCAGAAGTTGATTGTGTGTGTGTGTGTGTGTGTGTGTGTGTGTGTATGTACGTGTTTTCATGAATAAGCATGCATGTTCTTGGCCATAACTTCCTGTGTATCATCATATGCTAATATTAAGGGCTATTGGAAAATGTTTGTTTTTGATTATATGCCATTAGAAATGGGATTAAAAAAAAGTTTATTTGTATATATTCTTTTGCTTAGAAAACAAGAATTAAACTTTTAGCTACTTTGTCCATCTGAATAAGAAAATGGCTATTTAAATTCCAAAAGAAGTTTTCAAGCTTCATGTTTCCTAACTTCTTTAGAGACATTTACTAATTTTTTTGTTGTTAATTTTAAGTTGTTAAAAATTAAGTGTCCTTTATGTTTTCACTCCACCCTAAACCATATTGCATCTGCTTTGCCTTTAAGAAATACTTCTTTTTTCCTATTCATTTATACCTCTATTTCATCTCCGCACTTTACTCTCTGCTCCCTACCATTGCACTTACAAACTTGTCTATCAAATGAGCCTGAATATATAATTGTAAATAGAAAAATGGGTGATAGAATCAGGTATTGGCAAATATTTTTCCATTTCTTTTTAGTGTGTGAACTTTTAATGTACATTTGGGGATATACATCATTAAAGGAAGTTACAATGTTTAGTGAACAAGGTTCAGCAATTCAATTTTATAACAATTATAAATCTGTTAAATTTTTATGAACAGTGTTAGAATTTGGATTTTTTTCTGTTTTATTGTTGTGTGTATGTGTATTTATTTGTGTGTGTGTATGTGTGTATGAAACAACATTTGCCAACATTTTTCACATGTACAATTTGGTGATGCCAGTTACATTAATATGCTTTGCAACCATCACCAGTATTCATTGCCAGATCTTCCATCACCATAAACAGAAACTCAGTGCTTCCTAAGCAATGACTCTCCTTTTCCCTCTCCCTCCTTCCCCTGGAAACCACTAATAATCTTTGATTCCTATGTGGATTTGCCTATTCTAGTTATTTCATGTGAGTGAGGTAATATACAATATTTGTCCTTTTGTAATTGACTTACTTCACTCAACATAATGTTCTCAAGGTTCATCCATATCGTAGCATATATCAGGACTTCATTCCTCTTTATTACTAATGTTTCCTTATATGGATATACCACATTTTGTTTATCCATTCATCTGTTGATGGACATTTAGGTAGTTTCCACCTTTTGGCTATTATGAATAATGCTGCAATGAACATTGGTGTACAGGTGTCTGTTTGAGCTTTCAATTCTTTTGGACATATACCTAGGAATGGAATTACTGAATCATATGGTAATTCTATGTTTAACTTTTTGAGGAACTGCCCAACTGTTTTCCACAGATGCTGTACCATTTTACACTCCCACCAGCAATGTATGAGGATTCCAATTTATCCACATCCTTGCCAACGCTTGTTGTTTTTTGTCTTTCTAATATTAGCCATACTGGTGGTGGTGAAGTGGCATCTCATTGTGGTTTTGATTTATTAATATAGCTAATGATATTGAGCATCTTTTCATGTGCTTATTGGCCATTTGCGTATCTTCTTTGGTGAAATGTCTATTCAGCTTCTATGACCATTTTTTAATTGAATTGTTTGTCTTTTTGTTGTTAAGTGGTAGGTATATATTTTGATATTAAACCCTTAATCCGATATATGGTTCCCAAATTTTTTTTCCCAGTTCATAGGATTGTCTCTTCAGTTTGTTGTTTGGATTTTTTTTTAAAAAAAAACAAGTAAATTTCTTATTTATAGCAACTAAATGGTATCTGTAGCATTTTATCATACAGTAAATTCCATCTATTCACTATACTTTTCTAATTGCGTCTATAGGCAAGTGTATGTTTTTAATGTTATCTGAATTTTGTGCTGTTCCTGTAAAGTTGCTATCAAAATATATTAAACTAAAAAAAAAAAAAAAATGGTTAGCAAATTCCAAGTTCCTCAAATTGACACCAGTTTGTGCTAAAACATCATCAGAATTCCATTGAAATGGATAGTTATTTAACATTAGTAATCATAATACAACCCAACAGAAATTTTCCTTTATTACTTACACTTAATCCTTACTTATTGACATGGTTAGGTTCCAAAGACCAAGTCATTATGGAAAAATCAGCATTATGCAAAAAATGGAGGATGACCACATCAGATCACAAAATGGAAGATAACTACATCATTACATAACTGTCAAATTACATCATTATATATATGCCAAACCATTGAGAATCATAGCCCAGCCAAGTTAACATGTAACCTTAACCATCACAGCCAGGATTACTCTCCCCTTGCACCTTGGTATTCATTACTGCCAGATGTAGGTCATTAATGTACAAAATAGTCGGATAGTAGATTTTTTACTATTGTTGTAAATGCAAAATGTTGAATAATGAGATAGTCAATAAGTGAGGAGTAAGTATATTGTATAACAGCCATTTTCAATAGTGGTTAGTATGGCCCCTTGAAGGTCATTGAGAATTTCGTAGAGTTGTTTTTTGGTTGTCACAGTGACGTTGTTGTATGCCGTCAAGTCGATTCTGACTCCTAGTGACCCTGTAGGACAGAGTATATATCTACCCCATAGGGCTTCCTAGGCTGAAACTTTGTGGCAGCAGATCACTTTTCTCCTGTGGAGCCGCTGATGGGTTTGAACCAATTTTTCAGTTAGCAGCCGAGTGCTTAACCATTGCATCACCAGGGCTCTTAATTTCAGTGGATCTACTAGATTTCAACTCTTAACACCTTCCCATAGTACTTGGTACTTCTAGCTCCTGATCATCTCAGGGGATCTAAAGTATGAATTCCCTTTTGCAAGCATTTTAAGTTGTAGCTTCCTCTCTTTGGTCAAGTCAGTTACCACCTGTCTGCATTTTGTCCTATAAATATTGAAATCACTTATCCTCTAACATCATCTCTTCTATTCTCTCTTTCCTAGTCAGATTGTGTCTTCTTTTATTTATTTTTGCTGTCAATCCAGTTGTTTCAAAGGAAGAAGAGATATACTTTGTGATCAATCTGCCATGCTTGATAACTCAATTAGGGGTAACACTACCACCTACAGGGTGCTGGAAATGGTTGATGTATTTTTGGTTGTTATAACCACTGGCTAGTGTACATGCAGTTAGGGCCTTTGGGTTAGGTCAGCCAAACCTACTGCCATGTATGATCCCACCCAAAATGTCAATGGCACCTCCATTTAGAAACACTAAACTAATGCAATTCAGCAATCTCAGTTCATCCCAGCCTTATATGAACTCAATGTAATCATATATTTAGACACTAACATTCTTTATAATTGAGAGTGGTGTGTAATCTTATTCATTACTATCTCTCAGGCTGAACTTTTTGAAACTTATCTGCATTCAGAAATAACAGTAAAGACAGTGTCATAGCTCTTTATCATTAAAGAAATTCCCTGACTTAAATGGGGTTCTGGTCTGATGACTCCCTTGTAAGTTGGTTCTGACATAAGTCAAATACTTTGTTTTGTCTTCATTATTATTGCCTTTTATTATCAGTATCTTTATAAATCCAATTTTTATTTGTCTTTGGGGGTTAGCAACAATACATATAAACATCTGCAAGTGAACATCTGAGAATGATGAATAACATCAGCAAATTACACACTGCAACATTGTGTGTTGTACATATTACTAATGATAAAACGTACAAAAAAACAGATGGTTGTGAGGTTCATCGTAACTCGAACATGTCGTAAGTTGGGGACTACCTACCTGTACATACCAGATAAATTGTTTTCTTACTCCATCATTCTGCTCTGCTACATGTTTTTCTTTGTATTTACAGATATTTTGGTAAAAGACCTCAGTGGGATTGTAGAGGGGCATCAAATCTTAATGAACTTCATCAGCTATTAAGTGACATAATGATTAGAAGATTAAAGACTGAAGTTTTAACCCAGCTGCCGCCTAAAATCAGGCAGCGTATTCCATTTGATCTTCCAGCAGCAGCAGCTAAGGTGAGAACCCTTGTTTGAGTAAAAGTCATTTACAGGCAGTCCCCAGATTACGAAAGTCTGGTTTATGGACAGCTCAACTTGTACTTGCCCTTTAATATTATGTAAATTTGCCCTCTCTTTGAGATGATTGAACCACCCCTTGCTTGCAACAAATTCTTCATCACAATCACCTTCACTTGGTGCAAGTGCAGCTTTTAAATCACTGAAAAGGCTTTGAGCCTTTTTTGCACTGAAGTAAGGCTAAATAAGAACCGTATGTATCTGTTGCGACTTACCTACAAATTCGACTTAAAGACACAATTAGGAACAGATCTTGTTTGTAACACAGGGTCTGCCTATATAATATTAAAGATTGTACATATTCCATATTTCACAGAAGGAAAGCCCTGCTATCTTAAAATCAGCTTAGTTAATAGAGCATGTGAATTGACTTTCTATCAGTCATTTCAAGAAGGCAGCAGGAATTTAATTTTAGTCATCAAAGGTGTGAAAAGATACAGTATCCTAGTGATTAAAAAATATTTCTGCTGAATATAGGAAGAATACTGAAATTGCAGCAAAGGAGCTTTACATTTAGTATTAAAAATTTGAAGTCTCTATAGATTGTGGAAGGCAAAAATTAACGAGGGAAGTTTTGTTTCTTGCTCTAGAATTTTTTTTAAGTGTGAATAGCTGTCTCCTAGAATAATTTGGACATAGCCCTCTTCTAGAAATCTTAAAACTCTCTGATCATGTTATAAGATGTGAAATTCATCATATCAGAAAGTCAAAAGTGTGTTTTTCCTAATTTAATAAATTTACATTTATTTGGGGGGAGTGCAATGCTTACATGTTCTCTGAAATTTCTTCAAAATCTGGACATGGCTTGTCAAAAAAGAGTGTTGCATTGTTATATCTTGAAAGCTTAGAGTAAGCATTTTGAAAACATTGAGCAATATGTTGTTTCTAAAATAAGAATGATCTAATTTTCTTTACTACTTTATCATTAGAAAGAAAAATAAAACTAAGAGTCAATATACGATTGTTACATTTTTTAACAATATTCCCCAAATCTTTATCCATATTTAAAGATCTTGTCTTTTTATAAAAATACATTGCTATCATATACATTTTCACCACTCTTCTTTCTTATGTACTTAAATTTTTATTTCTACTTTTCAAAGTGTTTCTCTTTAAGAGGAAGCTCTAATTGTTTGATTTATGTTAACGAAGGGGGCTTTGTTTTCACTCACAGCTTGTCATTGGTTTCTATAATTAGCATAAACATGTAACTGGCCTACCTTTGCATTGATGATTTAAATGAACATGTTGTTGGCATCTCTGGGAATTTTCTTTTCATATCTTTCTATACAGAAAAGAAAAAAAAAAGTAGGCCATAATTCACTATTGTATTAATTGTTCTGTTTTTTGTGCTGTATTTCTAAACCTTGTTATTTTTTGCCACATAGGAATTGAATACCAGTTTTGAAGAGTGGGAGAGACTAATGAGAGCTCTAAATTCAGGTGCCACTGAGACTGGTAGCCCCTTTTTTCAAGTCATGGGGTTGATGACTCGCATGTTTAAACAAACTGCTGTCGCCAAGGTACTCATTGCTGGGCCATCATGTGTTTTTTTCTTGATATTAATGCATTTTAATGTTTTTACTTAAGCAGCTTATTTGTGTAATGCAGTATATCTTTGCTATGTAATTTTTTAACTCTTAATTATGGAAAAAGCCAGATGTATTCAAAGTATACAATAATATAACAAACACTTTATACCTGTCTGTATATCGATCCCTTCCAGTATATGTTGTTGTTGTCGTTAGGTGCCGTCGAGTCAGTTCTAACTCATAGTGACCTGATAGGACAGAGTAGAACTGCTCCATATGATTTCCAGGGAGCGACTGGTGAATTTGAACTGCCGACCTTTTTGTTAGCAGCTGAGCTCTTAACCACTGTGCCACCAGGGCTCCAATATATGGGTACACCTTAATGAGGGAGGATAATATGCTTTATATTTATCAATTTAAAAGAAATACACATGTCCATCTTTGTTATCAGCTTTTTCCATGGATTTACTACATTATTACTACAAATAATATTTTTTATTTAAGTCAAGCATTTTCAGACAATATTATACAGTCACGCGCTACATAATGTTCATTCAGGCAATGTCCGACCACATATACGTCCATGGTCACATAAGGTTATAGTAGAGTTCAGAAATCCCCGGAGAATAGGACGTAGCAGACATAACTGGACGTAGCAAATGTGACCACTTCCTGCACGAAACACGTGTACCTCGTGTCTCCTGTATACAAATCAATTGTGCTGCCAGGTGTGTAGTGGTACAGTACATATATAACCTATAATACATATGTCTTGATAGTCATAACAAATGCCTGTGTTATTGGCTTATGTGTATACTGTACTGTGCTTTCTATCATTATTTTAATGTGAACTTTTTCTACTTACAAATAGTAAGTTTACCATATAACAGTGTATGCTTAGACTCGTAGGCAGCAGCATTCAATATTGTGTATCACATGTGTCTTGAGTGTTGTGGCATTATTTCTCTGTTTATTTTTGGTTTTGAAAATGTTACTGTGAAGTACATCATGGCTCCCAAACGCAGCAAAACCAGTTCTAGTGATTGCAGCAGCAAGAGGCAAAGGAGAAGTATTGGTTTGGAAGTGAAACAAAATGTTACTAAACAGCGCAAAGGTGGGAAATCAGTGAATTTTATTGCTAGCGATTTAGACATGTTCACATAAAGTCCAGTTCATATAACGTCTTATTTCATAGAACATATCACAATGCATGACTGTATTTCTAGTTTCCTATGGAAGTAGATGTGCTCACATTCTTTTTATTTATCTGAAAGTGTAAATTGGAGGGTATTAGAGTTATTAAATCTCAGTGTGACTATCAAGTAGATGTATCATATATTGATTGTTGTTGTTTTTACCAGCATGGTAGAACTTGTAAATACTAATGAGCTTCATTCTTTTCCAATTCTGAGTTTTTTTGTAATAATATAATTTTTACATGAAGTTTATTGAGGTATAATTTATATACAGTGAAATGTACCCTTTTGTTAAATGTATAGTTTGATGAGGTTTGACAAATGCATCTAATCCAATAACTATCACTACAATCAAGATAAAGAAAATTTCCATTGCTTCAAAAAGTTCCTTCATGCCATGCCCCTTTGCAGTCATTTTTCTCCCTGACATCCCTAGCCCTTGGCAATCACAGATCTGCTTTCTGTTGCTATAGTTTTACATTTTGAGGAAAGTTTCAAAAATGTAATCAAATAATATGATGCCTTATGTCTGGCTTCTTTCCCTATCATAAAGCTTTTGAGATTGATCCAGGTTGTTGCTGAAGAATATTCCAGTGGATGGATGTGTAACAATTTTTTATCCTTCACCAGTTAATGAACATTTGAGTATTCTCAGTTTAGACTATTATTAATAAAACTGCTATAATCAGTTATGTCTTTGTATGAGAATATGTTTTCACTTCCCTTGGATAAATACCTAGGAATGGGACTACTGAGTCATGAAAAGTGTAAGCTTAACTTTATTTAAAAAAACTGCCAAATGATTTTTCAAAGTGGCTGTACATTTTGTATTCCTACTAGCAATGTATGAGAGTTTGGTTGTTCATATCTTTGCCAGCACTTGTTAATGTCAGAGTTTTTTTATTATAATCATTCTAGTATGTATATACTGGTATCTCATTATGGTTTTAACTTGCAATTCCCTAATGACTAGTAACATTGAACATATTTTCACGTGCTTCTTATTTTCTTTTGTGAAGTATCTGTTCATATTGAGCCTATTTTTATATTGTGTTGTAAGAGCTCTTTACATATTTTGGAAACGAGTCCTCTAACATATGTCTTTTGTAAATATTTCCTTCAGGTCTGGGTATTCCATTCCATTTTTATTTTTTTCAACACTGTCTTTCAAAGAATGGAAGGTTTTAATTTTGAAATCGTCCAGTTTATCTTTTTTTTTTTCTCTCTCTTTCTTATGATTTGTGTTGTTTTAGTCCTAAGAAATATTTGCCTAATCCAAGGTCACAAAGATTTTCTCCTATGTTTTCTTCAAAAAGTGTTATATGTAGGTATACGAGCTATTTTTTTTTTTTTCAATGGTGCAAACCAGACAACATTTCATTCTGTTATACATAAGGTCGCTATGAGTTGGAGCCAACTCTATAGCAACTAACAAAACAACATGAGCTATTTTGGGGTCATCATGAGTCAGAATTGACTTGATGGTTTGGTTTTGGTTTGTTTTTTATGAACTAATTTTTTTGTATGGTATGAATTAAGGGTAAAGGTTCAGTTATTTTAGTTTGGTTTTATTTTGAGTTTCTTTTTATCTTGAATTGTTCCAGCACCCTTTGTTGAAAAACTATTTTTTCCTCATTGAATTACCTTGGTATATTCATCAAAAATTAATTGGTCATATATGTGTGGGTCTGTCTCTGAACTCCCTACTCTTTTTTTATGATCTGTAAGTCTAACCTTATATAATACCACAGCGGCTTGATTACTTAGCCTTCTAAGTCTTGAAATCACATAGTGTTCACCTCCTAATTTATTCTTTTTAAAAATTAATTTTTCTATTGTAGGTTCTTTGCTTTCCTTTGTAAATTTTAGAATCATTTTGTCAAGTATGTGAAATTTTTATTGGAATCATGTTGAATTTATAGATGAATTTAGAAAAATGGACTTCTTAATAATATTACCTTTTCATCTATGAAAAGAGTTCTCTCTCTCCATTATTAATTCTTTAATTTCTGTCTGCAATGTTTTCTAGTTTTCTTGCCTACATTTTGTTATATTTATTCCTGACTAGTCCATGTCATTTTATGCCTGTGTAAGTAGTATATTTTAAGTATCAATTTCCAATTTTTCATTTCTAGAATATGAAATTAGTACTCATTTTTTTTATTTTTAGGGGACATCACTGCAGACCCCATAGACAATAAGAGGATATTAAGGGAACATTATAAACAACTTTACATCCAAAAAAGCCAGCAAAACTTAGGTAAAATGGACAAATTCCACAGATATCACAGCTGACTTAAGAAGAAATTAAAAAACTAAATAGGCTTATATCAACTAAATAAATGTAATGCATAATTTAAAATCATTCTTCAATGAAAACTCCAGGCTCAGATGGTTTCACTGGTAAATTCCATCAAACGTTTAATATAGAAATAATATCAATATTTACACAAACTTCTTTCAGAAAACAGAGGAGTAAGAAATACCTACCAGCCAGATTATTAAGCCAGTATTATCCACATACCAATCCCAGACAAAGATATCATGAGAAAACTACAGATCAGCATCCCTCATGAATGAGAAAAAATTAAACAAAACATTAGCAAATTTAAACCACAAATTTTTTTTTTTAAGTATTTATACTAGGGATACAAGGTTGGTTTAACAATGGATTAATCAATCACTAGGAGTCCTGGTGGTGCAGTGGTTAACAGCTATGGCTGCTAACCAAAAGATCGGCAGTTCCAATCCACCAGGCGCCCCTTGGAAACCCTATGGGACATTTCTACTGTATCCGGTAAGGTCACTATGAGCCAGAATTGACTCAATGGCAATGGGTTTGGGTTTATAGTACATCATGTTAACAAGATAAAAAAGGAAAACCACCTGATTATCCCAATAAAAGCATTTGACAAAATTCAGCATTCACTCATGATTAAAAAAAACTCTCAGTAAACTAGGACTGGAAAGGAACTTCCTCATCCAATAAAAGGCATCTGTATTAAAACTTATGACTGACATCATACTTAATGATGAAAGATTGAATAATATTCCTATAAGATTGGGACTAAAACAAGTATGTCTACTGTCACCACTTTTATTCAACGTTATTCTGGATGTTTAAGTTGTGTAACAATCCTGGATTATTAAATAAAGGCATACAGATTGAAAAGGAAGAAGTAAATTGTCTGTACTCACGGACAACATGCTTGTCTACATAGAAAACCCAAGAAAACTTCAAGAAAGCTACGAGAACCAATATATGAATTTATCAAGGTCACAGGATTCATGTTCAGTATACAAAAATCATTTGTATTCTTTATATTAGCAGTGAAAAATTGGAAATTGAAGGTTAAAAAATACAATTTACAATAGCGTCAAAAAACATGAACTACTTTGGGATAAATTCACCAAAATATATGTGCTGAAACACATGAAACATTGTTCAGAGAAAGTAAGGCAAGCTTAAATAAATGATAAGATAGACCACATTCATGGGTCATGAAATTCAGTATATGTCAGTACTCTGAAAATTATATATTCAATGTAATGCTAATAATTCTCTATAGTTTTTTTTTTTTTTTTTACAAATTGATAAGCTATATGTAAAATTTGTGTGAAAATGAAAAGGACTTACTGTAGCCAAAACAATTTTGAACAAAGTTGGAAGACTCATACTACATGATATAAATACTTACTATAAAGTAACAGTATTTACTGTTAAATAAAGTTACAGTAATCAAGACTTTGTGGTATAGGCATGAGGATAGACATTTACATTAAAGAACCAGAAAA